AAAAAAAAAAGATAACACGCTGATTGCCTTCCTCACTCAAATGCTAAAGGGGAGGAGGAGGAACTGTGTTTCCAACTCAGAGGAGCTGTGATTGGTCTCCTGATGGTGTCAGCATCCTCAGGAGCTACAAAATAATGGGTTCCACAAGGAGAGCCCCCCCAAAAAAGTACTCACTTTCTCCGGCACAGCGCCGAGAAGCCCGCCCACCCCCCTTGTCTAGATCCTGACAGGTAATTGCTCCAGAAGCACTGCCATGTCCCTCCTACACAAAGGGACCAGCGGGGCCCGTGAGGAGCTGCAGCAGATCATCAGTAGAACATGCCAACCCTGGGTTTGGAAATTCCTGGAGATTTGGGGATGGATCCTGGGACAGTGGAGTCTGGGGAGGGGGAGGCGATGATGCCGTGCGGTGCATTCTCCAAAGCGGCCATTTTCTCCTGCAAACTGATCTCTGCAGTCCAGAGATGAGTTGCGTTTCCAGGCAAACTCCAGGCCCCACCTGGAGGTTGGCAGGCCGCTCAGAGGTGCTCTGCTGGATCAGGCGAAGCCCAGCATCCTGCCTTCACTCATAGGGTTGGGTTCTTCGTTTCAGTGGCCGTTGGGCCGATGGTCATGATGTCACGCCTCTCTACAGAGGGTCAGAAATTCTACAGTAAAACTATGGAGATCTGACAATCCCTAGAGAGGACACACATCATTTCCAGGTTTTCCCTGGAAGTGACATCACACCATCACTGAAGGCTGCTCTCAAATGTCCTGCCCCTCGTCTCCCACCGGTTGTTGGGACTGGCAGCTCTGTCCCCACAGGTGAAGGCTGCTCTGGAGAGCCAGCAAAGCCGGCATGGGGGTCCAGGCCTCCCCCTAGTGCTGTCTCCTGCCGCTCAACTAGGAAATCCCTCCCGAAGATCTCTCCCCACCCAGGAGACTATGAACTCTCAGAGGCCTAAGCAAGCTAATTTTCCTTCCTTATTCCCAGTTGCTACAGGAGCATGGGGTATCGCAGGCATAAAAAAGAAATCAGTGCAGAAGGACGCAGAAAAAGTGCAAAAAAGGGCAACTCGAATGATAAAAGGGTTGGAACACTTTCCCTATGAGGAAAGGTTAAAGCGCTTGGGGCTCTTTAGCTTGGAGAAATTACGACTGAGGGGTGACATGATTGAGGTTTATAAGATTATGCATGGGATAGAGCAGATCGAGAAAGAAGTACTTTAGAACGGATAAAAGGAAGTACTTCTTCACGCAAAGAGTGATTAACACTTGGAATTCACTGCCACAGGAAGTGGTAGCGGCTACAAGCATGGACGGCTTCAAAAGGGAATTAGATAAGCATATGGAGCAGAGGTCCATCAGTGGCTATTAGCCACAAGGTATAGATAGGGACTCTGGGGCAAGTGATGCTCTGTCATCTTGGTGCTTGGGGGGGTCAACAGTGGGATGGCTTCAAATGTCCTGGCCCCACTGGTGGACCTCCTGATGGCACTGGTATTTCTGGCCACTGTGAGATACAGAGTGTTGGACTGGATGGGCCTTTGGCCTGATCCAACACTGGCATCTCTTATGTTCTTATGTTCTTATGTACTTTTCTCCCTTTCTCACAATACAAGAACTCATGGGCACTCCATGAAATTGCTGAGTGGTCGGGTTAGAATGGATAAAAGAAAGTCCTTCTTCACCCAAAGAGTGATTCACACATGGAATTCACTGCCACAGGAAGTGGTGGCGGCTACAAGCATGGATGGCTTCAAAAGGGAATTAGATAAGCATATGGAGCAGAGGTCCATCAGTGGCTATTAGCCACAAGGTATAGATAGGGACTCTGGGGCAAGTGATGCTCTGTCTTCTTGGTGCTTGGGGGGGGGGGTCAACAGGGGGAGGGCTTCTAATGTCCTGGCCCCACTGGTGGACCTCCTGATGGCACCTGGTATTTTTGGCCACTGTGTGACAGAATGTTGGACTGGATGGGCCTTTGGCCTGATCCAACATTGGTGTCTCTTATGTTCTTATGTTTTTCTTATGACACTAAGAAAAGAACAGTGAGCTCCCGTCTCTAGTTCCAGCTCCTGCCAACCTAGCAGTTCGAAAGCAAGAAATTGCAAGTAGATAAATAGGAACCACTTTGGTGGGAAGGTAACAGCGTTCCGTGCGCCTCGGTGTTTAGTCATGCCGGCCACATGACCACGGAAATGTCTTCAGACAGCGCTGGCTCTTCGGCTTTGAAACGGAGATGAGCACCGCAACCCTAGAGTCAGACTCGACTGGCTTTCGAGCAAGGGAAACCTTTACCTTTACCTAACAACAACAACAAGCGTGATCTGGTCCATGGGGTCGTGGACTCGACTGTGCGACTGAACAACAACAACGATATAACTGGTAGTCATTCAACTAAGAATACTACATACGTAGTATTTACAAAAATCCACAGGTAAATCCGCATTTTTTTTCAATAATCAAACAAGTAAGTTTTCAACAATCCAACAGGCAAGTCTTCAGTTTTTCAATAATACAACCGGTAAGTCTACAATGAACCTAGCAGTAATTCAGCTAAGAATACTACATATGCAGTGTTTACAATAAATCTCACAGGTGAGTCCACTATTTTTTTTCCAGGTAAGTTTTCAACAATCCAACAGGTAAATCTGCAATATTATTAATCCATCAACTAAGTCTACAATGGACGACGAAGACTCCGGATTTCAGAACTTCGTTTTGAATAGTCTTCCTCAGTAGAGGCTGATTAAAGAACTCTTTAAGGACTCATCAAATGTTTCCAAAGTAAACATCAGCAAAACACCTTTCCAATTTGTAATGAAAAATATTAATAGGGCAGCCACTCAATATTCACAGGGGGAAATCTCCAAAGTCTTGTGTTGCTTCAGTCCCAATCAGGCCGTTTGGCGTGGGCCTCTTCTTTTTCTTTTAGTTAATCTACGAGCTCATATTTTCCAGCATACTTGAGGACTCCTCTAATGACATACATTTTGGGATAACCTGATTTGCGGCTTTTAAGACCGGGAGGGGTTGCCCAGCTATTTCACCACTAGATATAATGAGTATATACACATTTCATGCTTTTTTATATTATATCTAACCATTGTGATTCCTTCTTCCTGCCCAATCCAATGGCTGGTATTCCTTATTTGCTCGTTTCTTTGACACCATGTTTATGCCATTTATATACTATTTATAAATGTGTTAATTTTAACGGGGGGGGGGGAACTGGAGCAAAGAAACAGAAAATGACTCGGAAGCAGAGATTTAAAGGTTCAATTCACACAAAATAAAAATGGGGACTTTTCAAGCTGAGCCAGCAGGGATGTGAAATTCAATGGCATCCCTGCTGTTCAGTTGCTTAGCCTGCATTCTCGGCTGTATTTCTCTCCCCCCCCCCCCCGAGCTCAACATACAGGCCAAGTCTCAGTCAGCAGCTTTGCTATGGGATCCCTAATTGGCTAGGATCACCAACGAGGTCGGTCTCGGGAGCACAGCCCTCCCTCCCAACTGACTTTGGCCTTAAGGATCTTAGCAGCACCACTACAACAAACGCTCCCCCTCTTAGGATAATTGCAGGAAGCAGACAGAAGCAGGGAAAATAACAGCCCCAAGAAGATTATGGGAAAAGGCAAATATTGTCTGCTCAAAAAAACCCCGAGAATATTTGGAACACCTAGATGAATGCAACATGCCCTGGGGTTACCAACCTCCAGGTGGTGGCTGGAGACCTCCCGGAATGACAGCTAGTCCCCAGGTTACATGGATCAGTTCTAAAACTGGAGGAAAAAGGGGAGGCAGGGAAAAACTCAACCCAAGATAACACTGCAAACCAGTTCCCCTGGAGAAAACAGCTGCTTTGGGGGGTGGACTCTGTGACATTATACCTGCACTATACTGGGTTCAGACGCATTCAAGTGATCAGCTCATAGTTTATTAGTGATTCAGCAAGAGAAAGAAGACTGAGAAACCCCTGGCCGAAGCCAGGTATTTATGCCTGGAAAAGGTCACACCCAAAACACACCCCACTCCCAACGATAGGCTATTTACACTACACTGTTTCCCAACTGGGTTACTCTAGGATCCCTGTCACCCTACTGGTCCATTCTAGGATCCTGCCAAGCTGCATCCCCAAGCTAAGTCCTTTTGCGAGTACAGTTCAGGCTCAATATATAACACCCCCGCACTGAGGTCCTCCCCAAGCCCCGCCCTCCCCAGACTCCGCCCCCAAAATCTCCATTTATTTCCCAACTCAGAGCTGGCAACCCTACAAAACAGAGTTTCTGCTGGGGCAGGAGCTTAAAAAATTGCATTCTTCCCCCCCCCCAAGCACTGTTCCCTCTAAGCTGAGTTAGCGTAAGCCAGCTCACAGTTATTTAGCCTCCGGCTCACACACATTTTTGTCTCGGCTCAGGAAGGAGGGCTCCAGAGCAAACTAATTGATGCAGCAGCCAAATGGCTCACTCACAACTTTAATGCCAGCAGCCCGGAAAGTAGAATTTCTGCTCACAGGACTCCGCAGCTTAGAGGGAGCATTGCCCCCAAGTATACGTAAAGACCATATTAAACGGCCAACAAAAGCCACACACGAGAGGAGTTCACAGTACCGTCAGATCTAAAAACCCAGGAATGAAAAGCGGCAAAGCAAAACCATCGACAAAAGATCAGCACCAAGGAAAGGAAAGCTTCCTTCCCCCTCCTCCTTACTTCCGAGGCTGGGGGGGGGGGGCCACAACGGGCCCTCCCTTATTTGCTTAACAGGAGCTTCCAAAGGCTACTTGGAAACAGAGTTTGTTGCCTGCGGCCTCCTGCCAAATGGCGATGATGTTCTAGCTCTTCTGCCTCAGATTTCTGATCGGGTGTGGGTCCCCTCCGTACCCCTTTAATGGAGGAAAGGGGAGGACGGATTGTGAGCTTACCAGGTGATTTGAGGGGCCATCGTGGTGAGTTAAAAGTTGGTGTAGTGCTGTCTCCGAAACCCACTGTTCCCTGCAAACGTCCTCGTCGCTCACCGTGATCATCTGCGCAATGATTTTAGCCTCATTTGCTCCAGACGTGGAGAAAACTAGCATGTGCGGTTCTGCCTGGACCTGAGCCACCATCAGCGTGTGCCTGCTGACGTGAGAACTGGCGAGAGACTCCTTGGGAAACAGATGAGGTTTTGGCCCAGTATTCTCCAAGGAAGCCCATCGTGACGAGCCAACTCTGAACCGAGCCAAAGGTGTTCATCACTCTGGGTTGGCAAACGGTCATCTGTCTCTGCCACTGGAGGGCAGGGAATCCCCCCACCAAGCCACAAGGTCTGGCAGGTAGAAAGCAGGTCTTATAGCCATGGTTCCCAACCTCCAGGTGGGGCCTGAAGGTCTCCCAGAATTACTACTCATCTCCAGGCCACAGAGATCAGCCCCCCTGGAGAAAATGGCCGCTTTGGAGGGTGGGCTCCGTGGCATCGTACCCTGCTGAGGCCCCTCCCCTCTCCAAATCCCGCCCTCCCCAGGCTCCACCCCCAAAGTCTCCAGGAATTTCCCAGCCCGGAGCTGGCAGCCCCAATACAGGAACCTGTTTTCTCTTTGCCAATGAGGGGAGGAGGCAGATACTCTCCTCCCAACTTCCTTTCCCAAACAATGTGTATACATATATATATTTTCCTAATCTCTCCAGCGGCCGATAGTTATCTGGCTTGGCGCAAGAGGGAAAAAAAAGAGACTTGGTGTCAAACGCTGAAAAATGACTTCTCAAGCTGCCTTTCTCCCTCCTGAAAAGGAGGTGACGTGCACGGAGCATACAAATCACTCCGTGTTCCAGAGCCCTCGGTTCAGCTCCGCAGGAGGAGGCGTGTGTTCGGACTACAAAGATTTTTCCTCCGGCCTGTGCCAAGGTCACCCGGGCAAGAGACTCACATTACACGGAAGCCAGGAGGGCGCAGAGATGAATGGGGTCTCCGACCAGCTCCGGGAGCAATCAGCTCGACTCCTGAACGTGGCAGCCTCAAGCTAAACACCAAACACCATCCAGCAAATTACAGGAGCAGGCGGCCATTACAACACCGGTGGAACTGCCGACTGCTTACCGGAGGAGTCTCTAGAGTCGTTTGTGCAGTCCGGATGTGCCCGACCCCTCCAGAAAAGAACAATTGGCTCAACTTAATGAGCAGTAAGCTTAGTACACATCGAAGGAAGTCCTTCTTCACCCAAAAGAGTAATCAACACCTGGAATTCCCTGCCCCAGGAAGTGGTTGTTGGTAGAAGCATAGACAGCTTCCAGAGGGGAATTGGATAAAGATACAAAGCAGAGGTCCACAAGTGGCTATTAGCCACAAGGTATAGATGGAACACCCTGTCTGGAGCAAGTGATGCTCTGTCTTCTTGGTGCTTGGGGGGCAAGAGCGGGAGGGCTTCTGGAGTCCTGCCCCCACTGGTGGACCTCCTGAGGGCACCTGGGTTTTGGCCACTGTGTGACACAGAGTGCTGGACTGGATGGGCCCTCGGCCTGATCCAACATGGCTTCACTTATGTTCTTCTGTCTGGGGCAGTGAGGCTCTGTCTTCTTGGTGCTTGGGGGGCAAGAGTGGGAGGGCTTCTGGAGTTCTGGCCCCACTGCTGGTGGACCTCCTGAGGGCACCTGGGTTTTGGCCACTGTGTGACATGGAGTGTTGGACTGGATGGGCCCTCGGCTGATCCAACATGGCTTCTGCTTCTCTTATGTTCATATGTCTGAGGCAGTGATGCTCTGTATTCTTGGTGCTTGGGGGGCAAGAGTGGGAGGGCTTCTAGAGTCCTGCCCCCACTGGTGGACCGCCTGATGCCCCCTGGGTTTTGGCCACTGTGTGACAGAGTGTTGGACTGGATGGGCCACCGGCCTGATTCAACATGGTTTTTCTTATGTTTTTACGTCCTTAACTTATCATTCTTAAGGTGCACTGATAGTTGGACATGGAAACTTTTAGTATACTACAATCCATAAATTAATTAAATACGCAAAGCCTGCTGTACCCAATGAGGTGGCGTGTCCACTGCCACCACTCTGCATGAGTCTCTGCTTCTTCAATCAGGAAGAATCTCTAGAAAAGTCATTCAAATAGAAACATGGGGGTGTGCTCCACTTGGTCACTGGTTCCCTCTCCCCCACACACACTTATGAACATGTGAACTGGTTCACACATGCAGGGGAATGAGAAGGCAGAGGGCGAAGGTGATAGAATGGACTGCAGCCCTTCTGTCTGAAAAGGGAGGATCACATTTTGAAATGCCCCTCCCTATGTTGAAAACTCTCTGCCTCCAGAAAAGCCACAGAAACAAGCAGGGGTCATTTCCTGCAGGAGCGCACAGGTGCGGAGCTCCGGCAGTAAAGAGCCCAGGGGGCGGGCACATGCAACAAGCCCCACCCCCTGCTCCCAGCAGCCCTCAGTCAGAGCAAGAAGCAGCCAGGTAAGCTGCAGAGCCCGCCCAGCCCCCCGGTCCAAAACAGTCCAGTGGCACCTTTAAGACCAAGTTTTATTCAGGTACAAGCTCTCCCTCCTCTGCGAGATCTGCACGTTCCCCCCCCAATAGCTAGCAATCCAAAAGAGTCCAGTGGAGCCTGAGCAGTGGGTGTTGCCTTCTGACACACTTCCGGTGATGTCAGGGGGTGTGGCATATGCAAATGAGCTATGCTAATGAGTTATGCTAATGAGCTCCTGCACCTCTTTTTCTACGAAATGACCCCTGGAAACAAGCATGAATGAGGGGTAGAACTGGTCCCTCTTCTAGCTTTCTATCTACACCAACACTTTTTGCGCAAAGAAACAATCCCTCTCACACACATGCATATATGCAGTGGTGCAATCTATTTTCCCACCTCAGCATTGTATCCACCACCACCACCCCGCACTTGAGAACCCGGCCTTAGACCGAAGTGGGCTGCTAATTTAAACTCTAGAAAGAAGCTACATTGGGGGGGGGGGGGGCGAGAGCAAGAAGAAGAAGAAGGGTTGGTTTTATACCCCATGGCCCTTCACTACCCGATGGAGTCTCAGAGCGGCTTACAATCTCCTTCCCTTCCTCTCCCCACAACAGACACCCTGTGAGGTCGGTGGGGCTGAAGGAGCTGTGACTGACCCAAGATCACCCAGCAGGCTTCCTGTGGTGGAGGAGGAGGAGGAGGAGTGGGGAATCAAACCCGGTTCTCCAGACTAGAGTCGGCTGCTCTACACCACTACACCGAGCTGGCTCCAAGCACAAATTACTGGCAGGGGAGCCTTCTGGAGCTTGCCTTCCAGAGTCTCTCTCCCCCCCCCGTCCCCCCCTCCAACACACTCGCAGTCACTTATTTGCATGCTTGGATCTGTCACCTCCCAGCGGGCGCTGTGTTCGTTTTGTCAATAGGTGCAGAAGGCGACTAGAAAACAAACACTTTGCACCTCTTCATGCACTTACACACAGAGAGATGTTTACACTCCACACGACAATCCGATGTTATTGATGCCACTGCAGACACACGTGGAAGGAGGGAGGGGGGGTTGCTTTTGTTTTCCCGAGGTCCTGAAAGCCAGGAGGGAGTCCCCGGTGCCTCCAGCCCCAGAAAAGGCAGAGGGTCCCCAGCTGGGCCCCCTCGGGTAGGTGTCTGGGAAAGTCGCCTTCAAGCAGCAACTCCAGTTCAAACTGGAGACAATCTGATTTTCACAAATAGGACTTTCAAAAATGGTTTTTGCCATGCTCATTGCCTCGCCAGTCAAGCATCCCAAACCATCACTCGGATGATCTGGCTGCGGTTCAAGAGAAGACACATATCGAGTTGTTTTGCAGTGAACGCAGCTGGCAGCATTCGGTACGACCGCCAGCCGGGGAGCCCCTCTTGGCTTGTGCTTGCCCAGGTCATGTACCACGTGATGCCCACTCCATTTCACGTCTCTCAACTGCTTTCGCTCCTGGCCCTTGGCTGGTTCTCGGACTTTACAGGACTGAACCCAGGAGGAGGCGGTGGCAGAATGCTCCAAGAATCCGCAATCCAGTTGAGAAGATGCGATGGACACAAACACGCTGGGAAGTTCCGCAGACAACGAGAACGAGCCTGGGAAACCACTGCAAGGCCAGCCACCTGGCTTCCCCAGCACCAATAGGCTCAAAGCCATCAAAGACAGCGCCTCCGGTGGAAGCTGAGGCTCTTGCGGGCATCTTGGGCAAATAGTGGAGAGGGGAGGGAGGGAGGGATTCAGGCACAGTCGTGGGAAAGCAGGGAGAGACCACGCACGAGCAACACCATTGGCCACACAGTCTAGCATTTCACCTGTATGGCACAATGCCCGCCACGCAAGGATTCGCCCCAGTATTTTAATCCCTGCATTGGCACTCTGCCTGTGGACTGAAATCCAGCTGCAAAGTCAGCACCAGTGGGAATGAGGGGGCTGAAGGATGAGCCATCCAGCTCCACCCACAGAGTTCTTAAGGGTTTGTGCTAACTGCTCTGGCCAAAGGGAGACAGCGGCCTACCATCTCACATCCTGCTAGAATGCCACGCCCCAAAGGAACGGAGACTGCAGAGAGCCAAATGGCTAGATAATCACAGAATCCTAGAGTTGGAAGGGGCCATACAGACCATCTAGTCCAGTGGTGGCGAACCTATGGCATGGGTGCCAGAGGTGGCACTCAGAGCCCTCTCTGTGGGCATGCATGCCATAGCCCCAGCCAGGCCCAGGCCATCATTAAAGTGTTGAATTCTCTGCCAAATAATGTTAAGTAAATGAAAGCATTTGGGATCGCTTTCCTTGCTTTGTTTGGATCATCTTAAGTTAATGTATGAGTTGTTTTTTCTAAAGTAAAAACTCAGTATTCAGGTTAAATCGCCGTGTTGCGCACTTCGCAATAAATAAGTGGGTTTTGGGTCGCAGTTTGGGCACTCGGTCTCTAAAAGGTTCGCCATCACTGATCTAGTCCAGCCCCCTGCTCAATGCAGGACCAGCCTAAAGCATCTCTGACACATATTCATCTAGCCTCTTCTCGAAAGCTGCCAGTGAAGGGGAACCCACCACCTCCTGAGGCAGCTGATTCCACCTTTGAACCACTCTGACCATGAAAATGTTTTTCCTAATATCCAGCCAGTACCTTTCTGCATGTAATTTAAACCT